CGTATCTACAATAAAAATGTCAGAGAGATTTAGTATACTTGATGACAGGAATTTTTAACATCTGTTATCTCGGAAATAGTGTCATCTGTTCTGAAAGGACAGAGAAGCTACATGTGGAACCTCTAAAAAGGGACTGAATGTGTTCTCTGGTCCTTACTGCCAGTAGGGAAGTGCTGATTTCTCTCAGGCTGTGGCAAAGAGCTTGGCTTCCACATGCATCCCAAAGAGCAGAGTTGCCATGACTCACTTGCAGCTGTGGTGCTCCCACACTTTACTACCCATTTCTTTTTCCCTTGCTACAGTGCTGCACAAATGCTGTTTCTGTTTGCATGAATGGTGCTTGCAGTAAGCCAGAAGAGCAATTAGTCAAGGAGTAATGAAAACGGTAAAACAGTGTTGCCACTTCTGGAAGATTCCTTCCTCTACCACAGAGTGTGTGCTAACATGGCACTTGTGTTCAAGATGGGGAATTGCTGTAAAGGAAGAAAGAATCAAGAAATCCTTGGGCTCTTAATCTCATCCTAATTGTAGGCAAGGTTGGAGAAACAAACTTGAGAGGATAGGAAAATAAGAGATGCAGTTAAAGACAAATGGAATAAAAGTCAATGCTTATACAAAGCTTACACAAAGTGGCTGTACCAACAAATCTGATCATCTTTATTTAATAAAAGCTGGACTTGGACTTTCTGTACCTGAGAGGTTGCTCTAAATGGACCTTGGAATCACCAGAGTACCACTCACAGTCTGTTGCTACCACTGCCTGGATGATGATGAAAGAAAACTGTTGGACCAGAGGGAGATAACCTACATTGAAGTAACTTTGTCTGCTTCAGAAGTATTATGTCACAAAACACAAAGAGAACTAATGAAATTTTGTGATAATACAAAGTTGAGAGCCTACATTGATACAGGGAAATGTCAAGATCTTTTTTTGCTTGAGGACTAAAAGAGCAGAAAGTGGATAGAGTATAATAACGTGAGGTATAAGGTCAGGTACCAAAGGAATAATTGTGTAACAAAAGAAAAAGAAGAGCTGCATCAGCAAGTCAGTGCACCAAGAACAGCCATCTATATGATGCTATCACATAAAAGGAAAATGTGGCTTCAAGGCATACCAGGTCTATTTTGTCCATCCAGGAAAGGACAGAGTGGAACAGAACATTAATATTTTCTTGAAGGTATTGGTGGTATTTCCCCTGCATTATTATGAACAGTTCAGTTTTCTGTTGTTAAGACCTATTAATTTAGTTTGGATAAGTGATGTAAAAGGCCTAAAACAAATAGGGAAATTCAGACCCTGGCTAATTAGAGGAAACTAAAAGCATTTTGCTTGTTTAGTGTGGAAAGAAAAAAACAGGTTGAGAGGTAAATGTGCTTAATCTCCATTAATATTGCACGAAAGTTCTCACCAGGTGGAGAAATGATCCATTCAAGTTAATGACAGTTATAGTTCTACAAATAAAAGTATCCACTATAAATTAGCAACTAATAATCACAGAGTTAAAATAAAATAAAAATTAGTTTGAACCACAGTATTATTACACAGAGATAGAAATTCTTTATTTTCAGTGTTAAGTTCCATGACCTTTTTTGAATATTGAAGCTATATTCCCATCAGTTTCTTAGTATTGAGCAGCTTCAAGCTGAACATGAGAAAGAATGTGAACACCAAACATACACAGTCCCAGGACTAAGAAGTCCATGGATCCAGGGTTCGAGAAGTCAGGAGTACAAATCTGATCCCATAAGAGTGGGATCTCATGCTCTGCTTATCAAAATATATTCTTCTCAGCATCACTGCTGATATTAAAATACAATTTTGCCAAGTGGTTTCGGGAACCAGGAAGCATATTGAACATATCAGCTGTATTGTTTTTTTTTTTTTATGTCATTCTTAGTTAAATCAATATGATCTTTTGGAGGACAGGCAGTAAGAAGGAGGAAAATGTGCCTTTTTAAAATGAAACTTGACAATTTACTAGGAGAATTACATTATATCTTCTGACTTCATATTTGATTTCTTTTCATCTAATTGTAGGTGGTTACATTCAGACAGTCCTTCCTCCTGCTTCTCTTTGTTTTTAGTGGAGAGACATTAACACTTTTTTGGGCTGAATCAGGTATCTTAATGTAGATGTATAAAAAAATTGTTAGGTTAACTATTCCCTGAAAATGCTCATTTTTCTCCATTGATTACAAAGGGAGCCCAAGGGAAAAAGTTCAGAAACAGGTGTCTCAATTTAGTCTTCCAAGAGATGAATTCCACCACAGGAGACAACTGTCCTCTATCCCAGTGGACAGGAATAATTATAGGGGAGGAATAAAGGAGGGAAAGAGAACTGGTTTGATCAAAGAGATGAAGAGTAATTTAAAAAAGCATTTAGCAATGGAGAAAACTTACTGTCAGCTATAGAAGAGAGATGTGGAGTGAGGGCTATGGAAAGAGCATGGAAAAAGACTATAAAACTTGGTTATATTGCTGAACACATTTATTTAGTAGACAGAGGAGTACCAAAGTTAGAATTCTACATTCAGAAATGTTTTTTTTTTTACAGATGTACCTATGAGAAATATTGTCTGTCTCTACAGTCACACACACATTAGACAGAACTAAACATGCAAATACACCCATGTCATTACAGGTAAAAGAAACATGAATTTTGATTTCATTTGTGTTGCAACAGCACCTTGCTATTCAAATGGAAATCAGAATCTCATTGTGCTGCGTTAGCTGTTATATATAGAACGGAAAATACTGCAGAGAGTGAAGAGGGCTGACAAAATGCACTAAAAATATCACTTTCCACTAATGTGTTCTTTGGCAATGCACCAAGGTTAATATTAGACCTTCTTCCAGAAGTCAAAGGGTCCCAAGTCCTCATTACTCTTTGAAATGATATTGAGTTAATTTGCCTAATTCTCACTTCTCACTGATTTTATGCTGGCTTTAAGGCCAATGAAATATAAATGGTTTGCTTTATCTTTGTCTGTGGGAGATGCCTTGCCAGTTCCCACCTTCTGGAGTGCCTCCTACCAGGTTCTTAACCCACCCCATAATGTTATGTTTATAGCTATGGCTATAGGAATGTATCCTGAAATTCTTAAAAGCATCTAGTGGTTTTGATTGACTTGATGCACCTTCACAATAGTTGATCATTCAGTGGTGGTTGAACACATGTAAACTTTAGCACTTCAGAAGTTTAGCACTTTAAAAGCTACCTTCAACTGGGCACAAAATCAATAATTGTTTTTTAAAATTCAGAACACATTTGACATTTCAAATAGAAAGACAGGCTAATTTAATTTTATTATTTCCATATATTAAATTTTATTTCATTTTGTAGTGTGTTGGATGAAATTACTCTCCTCCCAAATTAGAACTGATAAAAGCATTAATTTCTGTAAATTAAATCACTTTTAGAGATCAGAAGTTGCTCAGCCTCTCCCAGAAAGACTGGGTGCAATTATGTAAGACAAGCATATTGATTCATACCAATTATGCTATGCATTACTTGGAAGAGTCTCCACAAAGTTTCCCTAAAACCAAATTCAAACCTGGGAAAGAGGCTTCCGTATGATCTGAAACAATCATTCTGCTGTAAGGCTGGCAAAATTCCCACTGTTTGATGAGTGAATGAGCAATGTCTAGAAGCACCAGTCCTACCCATTCTCCATTTCTCTCCCGCTGAGCATAATATGTATCAGCTTAAAGGCTAATGGGTCATTTTATTTCACTCCATTCTTGAGCATCCCATTATATAACAGCATTAAAATAGATTTACTTTTGATCATGCCTTAATTTTCAGGAGAGTGATGCATAATCACATTGTTTCCAATTATCAGATTTCTCTGTAAAGTCTAGGACAGAATAGTGTTGATAAATCCCAGAAAAGTGCTAACGTCCTGTTTTGCTTTCTGAAGGCAAGATTACTGTTTGCACTACAGAAGTGGACAGAGCTGGTTAATTTATTCCTTAATTTATTCCTGTGACTTATTTGAAGTCCCAAATTCTCGTTATCCAAGAAAAATCTCTCATTAGCTTCTTCAAAGGGAACTGGGTGCTCATAGTGCTATAGGTCTTCCTTTTTTCTTTGTTCATCTGGACGCCCTGTCTCTTGTCACAACAATTCCACTAACTTCATTTTGTCCCTCTCTGACATCCCTTATTACAGCCCTAACTCCTTTCATGACATATTTCCTCACCATTTCACTTTCTACTACATTCACTCCCCTTGCAAGTACAAAGTTTCTTATGTCCTTAGAAAGGAAAACTGCAAGTCCACCTCCTTGTCCATCTTCTTTCCTTGTCGGAGGCTAAGGGCTCCCATGTACTGCCTTAGCTTTCCACCACTTCCCCATTCCCTTTATCACTCCACCCACATCAGTTTGCAGTCCTCTTCCATTCTGCTCCCTGCTTAAGAAATTTTACCTGAAAAGACCTCTGTGGACATTTACCAAACTAATCCTCTTTCCTTTTCACCTCCAAGAGCCATCTCTCCCTGATGTAAAACTACGAACTGGCAATTTAAAAGCTATTTAACCTCGTGAAGATTATGCAGAAGGATTTTCCTGCTGTTCTTCACAGTACTTATCAAAGATGAAGAGATCGTTGGAACAGGGTCAGTGACATCGCATTAAGGATGATCCTAGAAGGAGATCAATTAGTGGGCATTTGAATTAGATAAGACGACCGTTTTTTTCCCCCAGCGGTCCTAGGACCGCAGAGCACTTTGATCAGTATCTTGAAACTTACTTTTCCAGGCATCACTCTCTTCCAGTCCAAACCCTCCCCTCTGCTGTAGTTTGAGCGAAGGAAACGGTTCAGAGGAGAGCCCCTGTCTTGCTGCCCCCCAGCCGGGACTTGATGCCTCGGGCCGGCCGTCCTCTCCAGCGAGAGCCTGTTCCCTGGGTGTTTCCTCCCCCCGGAGCCCAGGTGCGAATCCCTCGGGAACGCGCCTTCCTCTAGCGCCGAGGGGGCCAGGAGAGCGCCGGTGACTCACGGGGGTCCCGAGGGATCGGGTGGACTCCCTGCCCCCAGCCCCGCTCCTCTCGTCCGGGGCAGCGCCCGGCGCTGCTCGGCGGCCACGGCCCCCCTCGGGGAACGCAGGGCTCCGGCTCCGGGGTGTGCCGCGCCGCTGCCCCGTATGGCTCTGCTCTCTCGTAGTGGCTTGGTGCCCTTGATGTGCAGCCCAAGCACGAGCCAAAGGACCGGCACTACCTCACCCAAACAACCCTTCCAGACATCTTCGATTTTGGCGCTGGTCCGTGGGCTGTGATTGCTCAACCTCACGCAAACGGGACTCGCCGGCATCCCTCGCCTGTAGTTAGACGTGCAACCATGAGGGAGAGCAAGACTCACCCCTCCCTAAACTGTTTTTGCCCCTAAGTATGATTTAACTTGAAGCAAGGGCGAATGAGCGCCTCCTTCCAGTTAGCAGGAGCTCTAGACACCCCAAGCGAGACACGCCAGCCCTTGGGAAGCGACACTAGTCCAAAAAAAAATAAAAAAATCAGAAACCACAACACCAAAACAAACCCTTCCCCCCCCCAACAAACCACAAACAAAGAAACTCCCCCCCGGAGAAACAAGTCAGCATCTGCCCCTCCTCTCCCGTGCCGGGGGAGCACCTGGAGGACCGACGGCAGAGCCCCCTGGCTCCCAGAGCTCAGGGGACCTTGCATATCGGACCTCGCTCAGCTCCCCACAAAGTTTGGTTACCCCCACCTGCGTGCGCATGGCAAAGAATGGCACTCAAGACCCGAAGGAGGGAACAGTTCCGGGAATTACTTGCTCCTATGAGAACTGTAGTAGATACGCGACTATTTCGGGAGTAGCACCTTATACTGCACCACCACCCACCAGTCAGTCGAGTGCAGATGTGCAAGCAGCATCCCTGCGCTGCGCATCGGTGAACGACCGGCACCATCGACGGTGGGAGGAGGGTGGGGGTCTAGTATCCAAACGCAGCGGGAGGTACGCGAATCAGGGAAGTTGGCCGGGAGGCAAAACCGAGTGCTTAACTACGGAGTTTTATAGTTTGAGACACATGTAACCAGCCCAGCAGAGATGAGGAGAGAAAGCCAGTAAGTTTAGCAAATAAAACCCGCAGAGCCACATTGTTAGCACACACAAGGAAAAACTATACACACGATTCAAAGAAAACACCCCACTTTATTTGTTGCAAAGCTGGTTGAAGGATATGAAGTGAGGAGACGAAGAAAGACGATTTCGTGACAGAGTACCGTGAACTCTGATGCAGGCTGCAGGCTGAGCTGCTTTCCCGCGCATGTACAGCACTGCATCTTCAGGACTTCTGAGCAAGTTTTAAAAACTCCTTTTTTTCTTCCGATCGCTTTGGGTACCCTCTTTGTCTCCGGTATTTTAAGCGGATGGAACCGATTCTCCTTCCTCGGGAGCTCCACAGAGAGCACACAGTGCTTCATTAAGAGCATTCCTCGCTCCCGGGCCAGGCAGGACGGAGCACGGCCCGAGGGGAGCACGTGGTCGGTGCGCTGGAAAGGGTGATTGAGCGCCTGGGGGGGTTTCTGCACACACGACAGGGCGAGTACAGATGGAGGGGGCTCTGGTCCCACGCATTGAGCGGACGGCCCGCCCGGACTCCACAAGCAGGCTTGGCTCCTCGGGACAGCTGGAAGCGGCAGGGCATGGGTGCACGCAGGGCTTCGGGCGCTCGCCACTCCCTGTCGCCGCCGGGGCAGGGAGCAGGGG